AAAACTAAAGGTTATATTATTGACTGTGCAGAGGTATCCGCAAGACAAAGAATGTTGTAAACATTTGAGACATCTGTTATGTATGTGGCATTGAGAAAAATATCACTTGAAAACCAAAGACGTTCAAGTGAATAGTATAGTTAGCAAATTGATTTTTATGAAGAATGTTTAAATAAATATGTTTTAATTTCATATTTTCTGCAGTATTGATATATGGATGATATTTCCTTAACGTAAACCAGTTCTATTGAAAAACGACAGCAAATATTAGTAGATATCAACAAGTGTCGTCCACATATAAAATTAGTCAACAAACTTAACAGTTGTGTTTATTTTCCCTATATATAAATAAAAAAATGAAAAGAGAAATCTAATCACATTAGTTTATCATAAAGAAGTTGCTGAGCCATATACTGTACTATCCAAATTTCATTATTCATATTATATATCTGAAAATATTATCAGAGATGTTCTTCTTCGAGCTTTACGTTATTCATCAACACTGAATGAATTCAACAAGTAATGATGAACTACCAATTTAATGTTTCTCTATAGCGGATAGGATGTATTTTTTGTTTACTTAATTGTAATACTCGTTCTCTTTGCTATTTTGCAAATATTTTGTTAGATACACATATCGATATTTTCAAAAATTTTTCATGAAATATTCAATTACATCAATATCTTATCTATCGATAGTGCCTTAGTCGACACGAAATCTGAATCATAGTCCATTAGACTCATCATAACCCAGTGTTTTGAAAGACTACAAACGGTGAAAATACACCTTCAGGAAGTAGTAATAATTGTTTCTGTAACCATTTTTGTTGTCTAAAGAATCTACGATTTAATTGCAGTGGTTTTATTATATTCAGAAACGCGCCTCAAGAATTTGCTATCTTGTGACACTAAATAAGTCCAGTTAAATAATTTATCTTTGACAGACGACCTACCAAAACTTGAACATGCTTCAATCCTTTTGAACTTTCTCGCTAAGGTTTGGTGAGCCTTAAGGTCTGTCTATAATAATGAAAAAATTCAAAATATATTATGCATAAAAAGATAGAGGCAAATATTAGTTTGGAAAAAAAAATGTCAAGTTTTGAAATCATTCGAGTGTTTAAAATGATTCTGTTGATGCGACTGGTACTTCGACTTTCACTGGCACTGGAGTTCGTCGTTGATCCCTCAAACTGACAGCGTGTCCAATCGTATCTGTTGTTCCGGTTGCAATCATCGCATTTCTCGCTTGATGAACAAATGGAATTAGTGACAATGCAAAGCTAATGGCTGTGAGAAATCCAATAATCGAAGAGATCGCAACCAAAATAAAACTGTACCCTAAAGAAACTTTAATTCCAAGTTCATGTCCGAAATCTTCGGTGATAGCTCTTGTAAATAGTAAATAACCAAGAAGAATTAGAATTGAGCCGAGAGTAAGGAAGAGCAGAGAGACAGTGGCGACGAGACCAATATACCGTAAATTAACAGGAATGCAAAAAATAAGTATTGCCAATAAAGTTCCACTAAAGATACAGGCTAAACCGGCCATAACAAGACCTTGTGGCAATTTTAATTCTGAAACTTCTGTTCTTGCCACTGAAACTTTTTTATCAAATAAACTGTAGGTTGTTGACTGAAGATTACTTCTCAATTGCCCTTCTACTTGAACGAGTGTTGCATTTGCAAGGCCAATTACAATCAGTTTCGTTAGCGGTGCTGGTACTCCTAAACCAGCTAAGGTATTAGCAGCAGTGACAACAAATTGCCCATTCGCATCTAGCAACTGACCAAATTTATTCTGTAATTCATTTGTATTTCCCTGAACACTAACCCAATTTCTTGTTGCAACGCCAACAATTGCTAGAATAACTGCAATTAGACCAATGATTACACTAAATAATAATACGAGTTTTCGACGTGTCTTAACTTTCTTCGCCATTTCTTGCTGTGTGTTCTGATATATGTTGTACTCTGTTCTGTTTGCTGATTCTATTCTCGTTTGTAAAACAAATAGGGACCATATAAGTGAGCTGTTATCTCATTTTTTTTTGTTGATGCAGATGATAAATATGAAACGTATACACATCTTTCTTGCATGTGTAGTCCTCTTTGCAGCGTTATCTTTTCAAAGAAACAATCAGAAACTGTTGGACTCTTTAATCATGACTTTTTCAGCTCAAGTAGAGAAAGAAAAATATGAATATTTGAGATACATCTCTTTGTTCAAGGTATTTTTCGATGATTCTTTCCAACTCGGCTGCTAAAGAATATATCTACTATGCAGGAAAACTGTAAAGCTTAATTTCTATAGTCGCACGATTTTTTCTCCAGCTTTTTCGATCAGAACAAAAAGCTGTTAGACGAATCTCTACAGAAACAAAATGTGAAACATGATGAATCTACGGATATTTTCACATAGAACATTTAGTAATTTATGTCTTCTTCTTCTAGTGAGTGCTTATTATGGAAGATTTTAAATAAATCAAAATTTTTTGCTGAAATAGAAACATCTTAGAACAGATGGATCTTGAGAAATACTCGGAGAACAATAATTTGAAGAGCACTAAAGTATAATAGTTTAAAGTTCTGAAAGAATAAAAATGATTTTAGAAAAAATTTATTCTCGACTTTTAACGTAAAGTCATCTTGAAGTTTAATATAAGGTGCTTCTGTATTATTAATGTTATTCGAATAACCATTGATTAATATAACTTATCGTAAAAGTTCAGTAGGGTAATCAACAAACATGAAGAATACGTACCACAATAAATCGCAACGCAATTTCTGATCTGGTCTACATGCAATAGAAAGATAATCAAGTGAATCGAGATGCTGTAAAGTACGACATACATGCGTTATTTTTAATCTATCTAAGATCATGGTGAAAGATTTTAACTGAATAAGTTTTGTACAATGTCATGGAAGATAGCTTAGTACATAAGATACTTTATGTTGAATAAATAGTCAAATACTGAGGATATGATTAAGTATTATCTCAGACCATTATGATCGAATGGAATATTCTAAAAGATTTCGATTGCTTTTTCCTAAATAAACATTAAATTAAACGTACTCGAAAACAATAAGTTAATCAAAATAATGGTTTAAATTAGTAAAGACTTGAAGAAGAACATGTGTTTTGCAGTAAGAAAAGATTTCCATCCATAATGCAATCGACCAATCCCCAACACAGTTTTTCTTTGTAAGCTCTGTTGAAATATAGTTCTCTTCGTACGACAGTAATGAATCTACAATTTATTATGCAAGATAAAAAGAGATGAAGGATAGTGATAAACGAAAGAAATGCCAACTGATTCGCGAATGAAGACGTTGTATTATCTAGCACCCGTAGATTTGTATACATATCATATGATGCCGCATTTAAACATTATATTTCTTGAACTTCCTGTGTTCCTAGAGTTTAGGCAAAGTAATGGGACCATGGGAGTACGTCGTTTTCCCCTTGGTTAGTATAGATACAGATATGTAACATTATATGATGATGCATATAGCAGCAAAGAGATCCTGAAAGTTCTAAAACTGGCTACATCAGGAGTATAGATATAAGAGTATATATGCAAGAGTGTCGTCATAATACCTACCAAGTTTTAGTCTCGGACGTGGTATACTTTGATATTCAACGAAGATTAACATGCTTTTTCGGGTCTAAAACGCTCAGAGCATCTGCTCAAATAGTAGAAAGTGTGTGGTTGCAATTTCACAATGGCCGCCATGCATACACCTATATTTAGGGGTGGGTTGTTTGTCTGCAAAAATAACACCCACACCTACACCCGCTGAATGAATATTTCAGACTCTTTTTCTTCTTCAACTGTATTCATTACAAATTGGCGTTGAAACAAGCTATCGAAAATTATATCTGAAAATCAAATAAGTGAAGCCATATGCATTGCGTAAGAAAAAGATAATGTTGCGTTATTGCATCACATGTCATTAGCACTTCTCCATTCATGGCAATGCCTCTAGAGAGAAGTCTGTAAAATATTATGTATTCTTCTTTGTTTTCATCATTTCGAGTCGCTATCGTGATTTCCTAGAGTCCATCAGGTTTATTTTTTAGGTTGGAAACGATTAAAAAAATTGTCCAAACTCTTCTGGTCTGTTTAGATTTACATCCTTTCTATACGCGCTTTTGACGTTTTTATTTTAATATATGTTTGAATCTGTACGTCCTTGGAGGCGCTGCTTGTTCCACATCACGACGTACATATAAAAGATCAGTGACGGGAACAAAATTTTTTTTTTCATTCTTGAGTAATTGAGTTCAACTTTCAAATTTGATCTGTATGACAGATTTTGACGTATTCAGCGAGACGTACAGAAAAGAAAATGTCATAACTAAATGTTTCTTTATTAACATATTGAATTTTCAAGTGAACTCCATTTTTGTGAGATGTCGTTCGCATGCTACTATTTCTCGAATATTCAATATCTGAAGAAAGAATATTCTTGTCGGCTGAAACGTTTAGGATATTTTAAAAGGTCATTACGTCTATCTATATGGAAAATTTCAAGTGGAAATTCCTTAATCTGATTCTTCGATAAATACCCAGAAATGGGTCGAAAAGCTTGTTAGTGCAACCCCTTCAGGACTAAAATATGGAACTTCCACATCTTCTTTAGCCTGACTAAATAATACAAAATGTTAGTTGTTTTTTTTACGAGCGCTCGTTTTTGTTTTTTGTATTGTTGCTATTCGCTTTTGTGAAACATGATCTGAAAGGAGTGTTGAAGTATATAGGATAGAAATTGACACCCACCCTTATGGATTCGAATTTCAAAGCTTAGAATTAAGAAAAAATCTGAGAAGAGTGTTCCCATACATGCGCTAATGTCCTTTGGTTCAGATTTCGTCAAGTAAGAAAAAGTGAAGTCGCCACTCTTTCTTTCATATGAAGTTAAACTGCATATACTTCAGAAAAAAAAATTGATATTGATAAGCAAAACGTGTGATTCAATCAACAGCAGATCTGAGTATTATACATTCCTGAAGATGTGAAAAAAGATTATCCATTTCTCTTTGACACTTTTCGATTTCTGTGTGTGTATGTCGATATGGATCAAGGATTTCTTGTTGAAGAGTAACGATTGCAGTGATGTGGTCGAATGAAGTTATGGGACTCGTATAAAAAGCGTTTCCTTCTGACTTTATGTGGTTTAAGCATTTCTTCTTGAAGTGGAACAGTTTCTCTTTGAGAGGAGGAAATGGTCCAGCCCTCCAGAGATAGGGTAGATTTTATTTACTATATCAAGATCGCATAGATCATTATGTCTTTGAGGTACTTGCAACTTTCTATATGTAATTATTATCATGCTTTATTCCAGATTATCAATAAACAAACACATGAAATGATGTTGAACTATCCTGATTCAAGTCTTGGGTATGCGATGTAAGTGTAGATGTTGATCTTGTCTTCGTCCACGCACACCCTTAGGATTGCTTGATGTCAAAATGTAGGCAACACTTGCTGCTAAAACTTAGCAGAGATTGATCCTTTACTATTGTGAAAAAAGAATACACAAATCGACATTCACGTTCTCGCAAATTGCACAACATTATGATTTTTTTTTGGAGTGCCTGTATACCATTTACTCGAACAGCATTAAGAATTCTAAATAAAATTATCAATTATTTAAAAAAAAAATTTTTAGCTCAATGCGAACTTTTAAATTAAAACCATTTCAGAAAATTTTTCTACTGCAAAATGATTGTTATTGTGTTAACGAAAGAAGAAATGCATAAATCGAACAAAATAATTTCATAGTTGAGATTAGAGATGACTGTCTGTAGTAGTATAATGGTTTGAAGATGTCGATTTGTCGAACCGAAGATCAGGGTGAAACTTATTCGCTTATAGATCACCACTTTTTCAATTCTTTTGTTTTTTATTCACTGCGTAATACACGTACAATGTGACTGAATCTTTTCGATCCCCTGCTGTGGAGATGTTCTATTTTTACTCTGATGCAATGTCTGTTTGTACAAAGAACGTCAAAAAAAAAATAATCGACTGTCACATAAATGATTATTTGTTTTGAGTTTTTCTTTCATCCAAATAATAATAAACATATCTATCATAATCATTCTTTCGTTCTGCTTTTGAATGCTGAAATATTATTAGTGTTGATAAACGAAGTTTGCATTTTGTAGTTCATTTCATGAAAAAGAGAACGTCCGCGGTAGTATAGTGGTTAGTATCCCCGCCTGTCACGCGGCAAACCGGGGTTCGATTCCCCGCCGCGGAGTAGCTTATGTTTTTTTTTTACTTTCACAGAAACAATAAAAAACATATAAAACGATAGAAATACGCAGAAAATATAAAGAAATGAACATCACCAGTATCAGAGGGTATGGATGTGGACTATATTCTCACTGCCCCCAGAGTTCACACTCACGCTTGCTATTCTTTCTATTTATCTTCTTGATATTTTTACAATCTTGAGTTAATACTCGTCATAATTACGTTGATGGCAAATTATGAAACGCTGTGCATTAAGGAAACACCTCCTTTTCATGATTTCTCAAGAATGGTTCATCAGAAAAATCGGAAACTTTCTTGATTGGTAGATCTCGACGATTAGAGCAAACGTTATTATAGACTTAAAATTATTAAATGCTTCTTTCCAGAAGATACCGAAATCGTGATGTAGCCTTTGCGTCCCCAAGATGTTCGGAAAGAAAGTATTTGGCAACTTTCAGTTTAGGAAAACTTGTGTTCTACTCATCAGGATCTATCCATTCTGACAGTTTCAAAACTTTTCGTCACACCATTTTGAACCAAGCTTGGAAAGGAGGAGGTCTTTTTAATGAGACAGCGATATCCTGTTGATTAGGTTATAATAATATTAGTATTTTTATTTATAATTGTTTCAAATTAAGAACAAATATTGGGCAATCTTTAGAATGTTTCACATTAT